GGGACTCCACACTTGTAAACAATCGCTCCATTAAGCTTGCGTCGCTCGCGCGGCTCTCAGTCCAGGTCCAGACTCGTCAGCGCTATCAAGCTGACCAATCACAGAGCTTGCGCTATGCGTCGTTGCGATGTGTAGTTACATTTTTTGAGCGGTGCACGTCACCGACGCCGGCGGCCACGGCGTAAGGCTATGCGTCAGCGCCGTAGCATACGCGTGCGCTTGACACAGAAGTATAAATCAGCCTTAAGACTAAAAAAGGAAAATGAATAAATGAACGGATTGGTCTCACGCAATCATATTATGCGATTTCAAAAGGTCAGAGTTCACCTTCAACTTTCCAACACAGCGAACTGCGAAACTTGCCGCACGACCTTGCGTTTCCGGTCTGATGCATTTGCGTGCGTATGAATGGAAGTCTATGGGGAGAAAAGTGCAGTGTGACCACAGCTTAATGCGAACACAACAATCAAACAAATAATTGCTGATAGCTTTTCGTTTGCATGTTTTTTACTATTAAAATCTACTGTTTTATCTTCTGTGGTTTATGGTAACTCTAATAGTTTTTTAACTGGAATTGTTTTAGACCCCAGGGGGTCCTGACCCTGACTTTGGGAACCACTGGGTGTACAGAACAAACCCCTGTTATAAAATGACTTCCCTTATTAACCCCTTTAAATGTCTCTTTAAGCTGTATAGAAGTGTCTTGAAAAATATCTAGTCAAATATTATTTACTGTCATCATGGCAAAGATCAAATAAATCAGTTATTAGAGATGAGTTATTAAAACTAGCATGTTTAGAAATGTGTGGGAAAAACCTGCTCTCTATTAAACAGAAAATAGGGAAAAAATAAACAGGGGGGCTAATAATTCTGACTTTAACTGTATGTATTGTTTTTATGTTCACTGATCTCCAGGATGTGCAGAGCGAAACAGGATGGAGTCACGTGACACGGCTGCAGGATGGAGTCATGTGACATGACTGACTGTGTGTTTGAAAACAAAGTAAGATGCAAATACTGAGTTTAGCTGAGTTTACATAGACAGCATTCAGAGCTCCTACTCATGATCACGAGTTTGGGGGGGAAACACCATCATATCCAGCGACCGCAGCTCTTTTAAAACATCGCCGATTTGCATAATGAATTAATGGTTTGGGTTGTGGTCGGAATGATAGCTTAGAGTGATCATGAGGGATTTGAATCAAGGTCATATAGTGCATGGGTCATATAAAACTGCAGAAGAAAAAAGCATATACGGGGCAGCACAGTGGCTCAGTGATTAGCACTAAGGCCTCACAGCAAGAAGGTCGCTAGTTTGAGTCCTGGCTGGGTCTGTTGCCATTTCTGTGTGGAGTTTGCATGTTCTCCCTGTGTTGGCGTGAGTTTCCTCTGGGTGCTCTGGTTTCCCCCACAGACCAAACACATGCACTATAGGGGAATTGAATTAACTAAATTGGCTGTAGTGTATGTGTGTGAATGTGAGTGTATGGAGGTTTCCCAGTACTGGGTTGCAGCTGGAAGGGCTACCGCTGTGTAAAATATGTGTATATATATATATATTTTATACTTTTTATTAAGTATACTCTTTTTATTTGTAAAACAAAAAATGAAAAAAAAAAAAATCACTAAAACTGCAATAATATATTATTGAAAATTATATATTTTCAATTTAAATTTTTAATACTTTAGCTTTATTCATTCAATCATTTTCTTATTGGCTTAGTCCCTTTATTAATCTGGGGTCGCCACAGCGGAATGAACCGCCAACTTATCCAGCACATGTTTTACGCAGCAGATGCCCTTACAGCTGCAACCAATCGCTGGGAAACACTCATTTACACACATACACTACGGGCAATTTTAGCTAACCCAAACTCCACACAGAAACGCCTACTGACCCAGCCGAGGCTCAAACCAGTGACCTTCTTGCTGTGAGGTGACAGCACTACCTACTGCGCCACCGCGTAAACCTTCTTCAGCTTAATTTAACATTTAAATCCTTTTTAATAGTATTGCATATTAATTTAAGTGGTCAAATTTTGCACATTTTTTGTTTCAGCTAAGGAAAATATAAATATTGCTCATTTTCATTTAGTTTAGCTTGATGTAAATACAATAACAAAATAAATAAAATGCAAAATAAAATTAAATTACAAAATTGAAAATAACAAAAAAAAAATAGGATAAATATGGGGCGAAGCAGTGGCACAGTAGGTAGTGCTGTCACCTCACAGCAAGAAGGTTGCTGGGTCGAGACTCGGCTCAGTTGGCGTTTCTTTGTGGAGTTTGCATGTTCTCCCTGCGTTCGCGTGGGTTTCCTCACTCCGGTTGCTCCGGTTTCCCCCACAGTCCAAAGACATGCGGTACAGGTGAATTGGGTAGGTTAAAATTGTCCGTAGTGTATGAGTGTGTGTGTGTGAATGTGTGTGTGGATGTTTCCCAGAGGTGGGTTGCGGCTGGAAGGGCATCCGCTGCGTAAAAAATTGCTGGATAAGTTGGCGGTTCATTCCGCTGTGGCGACCCCGGATTAATAAAGGGACTAAGCTGACAAGAAAATGAATGAATAGGATAAATATTTATAAATATATCTGAAAACATGATAAATAAATTGATAAACATGAACATTTATTCAAAGTCTTAATAAATACACAGCAGCATCTCAATAATATTCAAGTCAATATTAATACTTAAATATTTAATATTATAAACAAAATATTTAAGTTTAAATAACTAATATATTTACAAAAAAATGTACATTTAAAAAAAATAATTCATCAACATTTGTAAAGCAAAAATAAACTGCTGCTATACAAGTACTTGACTGGCCTGTCTGCAGTCCCGACCTGTCTCCAATAGAGAATGTGTGGCGCATTTTGAAGCGCAAAATGCAACAATGAAGACCCCGCACTGTTGCCCACCTTAAGACTTGTTTGCAGGAAGAATGGGACAAAATTACACCTAAAACACTTCATCACTTACTGTCTTCAGTTTCTAGATGTCTTTAAGTGTGAAAAGCAATGGCAACATTACAAAGCGGTAAATGCTTTAATTCTAAATTCATTCATTTCTTGTCGGCTTAGTCCCTTTATTAATCTGGGGTCGCCACAGCGGAATGAACTGCCAACTTATACAGCAAGTTTTTACGCAGCGGATGCCCTTCCAGCTGCAACCCATCCCTGGGAAACATCCACACACACATTCACTCATACACTACGGACAATTTAGCCTACCCAATTCACCTGCAGCACATGTCTTTGGACTGTGGGGGAAACCGGAGCAACCAGAGAAAACCCACGCGAACGCAGGGAGAACATGCAAACTCCAAACAGAAACAACTGAGCCGAGGCTCGATCCAGCGACCTTCTTGCTGCACTACCTACTGCTTCGCCTAATTCTAAATTATGTAAATTATATTTCCAAACAATTTCAGCTTGCATTAAACTGACTTAAAACATCAAGTCTAATTTTATACAAGTTTTAAAATTAAGTTGAAACATGATTAACTTATTTTTGTAAGCTAAAATAACACAAACACGATCATGACTTATTTATCATACTTTTTTTATACAGTGCCCCAAAACCAAATTTGCACTTTTTTCATGTTATCACCCCAATTCATACACATATTTAATTTAAGTGCACTTTAAAAGCACAAAGCAGTAATATTCATTCCACAACTTACAATATGTGAGAATAAACCAAAATATATGGGCATGGCATGTTTACACCTGCAATAAAGCCATAGAAAGATTGCAACACTCAAAGTCAAATAAACTTACGGAGTTTGCTGCAATTACACACAAATATCACCTGAAACATAATGTCAGGCAGCCATATGTCAACTTCAGATAAGAAAACACATGGAGTTTTGCTAAGTGTTTAAGAAAATCATACACTACGAACGCAAAATCTTATTATTTTCCGTCAAATTCAACACAAAAGTCCTGTCACACAAGATAAATCATTAATTTGGTTCAACAAAACAGCAAACACACTAAGAAAACACTGAAATGTGAGTGGAAACACATGTGCAATGACCTACTTCTTACATTCAAAACACTATGAATACATTTCAGAGTGAAGTATATTAACTTGAAGCGTTTATACTTTAACATACTGACTGTATATTGAATTTGGACTCAAAACAAATAATAAAAAGTTTCATAGTAACAGTATGAGATGGTAGCTTACAACTACTTCTGTTTACAATCTACATTTGTTGTGGTTTTTAAAACGTATCACTGTGTATTTACATATGATAGTACATGACTAGAAAATATGATAATACCCTAATATTATTTTGTAAAGTATACCAAGTGCCTGTATAATGAGTTTTAACACAGTTGTCGATAACTTAAGAGTGAATGTTGATAATGTGCATAATTTATACTGCACCTCATCAGTCCATTTTTCATTAATGAACTCAAAAGTTAAATAACTAGCGTTAAAATGAATGTTTACTCAATTAATATGTCACTAACATTATTAAGTCGGAAAAATAAGATACAGAACATACCAGAAATGTGATGCTACGTCGCTCAGGGGTGAAGCGCGTGTCACCTGACGACTGCAGGTGTTTTATACCGGCTGTAAGATTACCGTCAGGGGGCAGTAGAGCTTTAGGAGTACCGTAATACATGTAATAACCGCTATTTTTATTTATTTATTTACAGTTTTTAGTCTGTGATTTGTCACAAAACAGATCAGACATTAACAAAGCATTTTCTATCATATATGTGCATAGATATAAGAATTTTTAATAAAAATATAATTTCAAAATGGTTTAGATTTCGGGATTTCTGTCGGTAAAAGTGTAAAAGAGAAATCTCTTTCGAAATCGAACCACCATGTCTTCAGGAAAATCTAAAACAAGGGGTATCTCTCTTCTTAACTTTAGAAGGGAAAAGCTGTGTATTTACTTATATTGCTCATAAAAATAACTAAAGTTGCTAAATACGATTTCTCTGTCTCCAATACTAAAGTTTTTACGGTCACCGGATTCTTGTGCCGTTGCCACGGGAGACGCAGTAGCGCTCGTGCACGTATGTAGCTTGCGTTCTCCTCAAGTCAGAAACTCTGCTACAATCACGCCAAAGTCGAGATGGTTTTACTATTCAGACGGATAATTTCATAATTCATACGGAGTTAATGAACAGATGTCTGCGTTTCGACCTAAACTGGTCTGAAGGTTTGTAAAATTGTAATGAAATGTGCTCTTGGTTAGCAGTTAGCAGTTTAGCAGGTTAAATCTCTTGTTGATCTGAATACACAAACAGCTCAGCTCAGACTCTCTAACGTTATTTAAGAAAAGAAACTGCAGGTGAATAAGGTTAAAACTTAACTAACGTTAATGCAGAGTGAACGGTAACTTAGCACTTATTGTGCTCGACTGAGTTTGATACAATTTAAAGTGTTAAGTTAACGTTTGGGTAGCCTCTAACTTACTTTGAAAATACCTGTATAACGTTAAGATATTAACTTACACAGGCGAGGCGACGCAAACGTGTCTCTTGGTTGTGCCCTAAGCTTACACCTTACTTAAGCTTACATATTCGATATACTCTCTACAGTGTGAAGTACAGCTTAAGCCATGTGTAGTTTGCATTGTTTGGCATTCCACCTGAAGAACTGAGTCTGGCTCAAAGACAACAAAACATTATAGCAGTGTTTCTCAACCACGATTAGCTCTGCACATATTCCATGTCTCCTTAACCAAACACACCTGATTCAGATCATCATCAGCTCATTAGCAGAGACTGGAAGACAAAGGAGACATCCAAAACATGCAGTGCTGGTGCTCCTCCAGGAACGTGGTTAAGAAACACTGCATTATTGCCTTTGCCTCTCTACTGGCTCGCAGACAAATGTTATTGCACTTGAAATCTTTAAATCCACCTAAAGCATCACACTGGCTTCAAGACCTGAGGTCATATCTACACTTGGAATAAAATAAATATTCAATTAGAGGTTCTAGCAAATTCTCATATGTTTGTCAACCCTTTTTATCGTATTTGTCTGCTATAAATGTATTTCCTGGGGAATAATGTGATTTATATTGTATGTAACTTTATGTAACTTCCCATTTTCCTTTCTTTTTCTGTTCTGACCCTCATGCCCTCGTTGTAAGAAAGCACAGCACTATCCCTGTTTGTATCACCCATTTTTGTTCATTATTTTTTTTTAATTCTTTTTATACAATAATTTTATAGAAAATTATTTATTATTTTATTATCTTATTTTTTACAATTTTATTTTTTTTTCTATTATTAATATTATTTTCCTCTCTTGTCTTTACTATTTTTATTATCATAACTGTCATAATTCTCGGCAATGTATTTATGGTTTGAAGTGGGTTTATTAATATTAACTACTGATTATAACCCTACTTTCCCAGGTGATTATTTACATTAAGAACTAGAAAACATTTTTGATATCTAAAATACCATGTTTATAATTGGCAAATTACACTTATATCATTAAATATGCGCCATTTGTTTTGGCAAATGTAAATAATAGCTTTTACAGTGGGGTTTTGGGAGTATCTTTTTATTAATTCACAATTCAGTAAAAAAAAGTAGAGAACAATATTGCATATAATTAAGCAAATTATTTATGAGCATATTCCTCAGTAACAACCTTCAGTTAGATATGAATAAAACTGTAAAGTTTAATGAATTTAAGTTCTCCTGAAGTGATTTATGACAAAACAGCCTTTTAAAATAAGTAGTGTAGTTGAAATATAGATACTAATTGAAAAAGTGTGATCAATTAAACACTTAAACACTTACATTTGGGATGTTTTCTTTACGTTATACTGAAAATTCTATGAAAATCCTGAACAAAAAAGCTTGAAATCGACAGGTGCATGAAAAAATATCTACAAAAATCTCAGTTAAAATGTTGAAAATGCTTTATATATGACTTGTTTTAGACTCTTAATTTCCTGTAAGTCGAGACTATTCTCATTGCTACTTTATTAATGTGATTTGTAAACAAATGGATAACTTTCAACATGATATTCGTGTTTACCCTCACAAGCTCTGAGAGATTTCAGATAACCAGAGCTCGTAAACTCAACAAGCGAATCGACAGATAATCTCTGTTGCCTTCTTGTGCCTGCTGTCATTATATACACAATCAAATGATTTCCTCAGGACTCATCATACTGTGGTTATGTCATGGCGAGCAAGTCACGAGTGTTATAGGAGTTGTTGTCTCTGTAATCTCTTTGTTTAGGCTCTGTGGAGTTTTGAATCAGACGGAGATTAGAGATGCCCAGAGCGTCTCATCTCCTCCTGCACTCAGTGAAATTAAGCCGTAATCCCTTCAGTGGCCTGCTGCTCTTCCTATGTAACACCTTGGAGAACCAGAGCTGAAGGACTCTCTTACACCAGGCCAGTGTGACAGGACGCTGCAGGAGTCAAAGCGTGAGTACATGCACACATAGATAGATAGATAGATAAATAGATAGATAGACACAGACAGACAGACAGACAGATAGATAAATAGATAGATAGATAGATAGATAGATAGATAGATAGATAGATAGATAGATAGATAGATAGATAGATAGATAGATAGATAGATAGATAGATAGATAGATAGATAGATAGATAGATAGATAGATAGATAGATAGATAGATAGACGGACTCCGTTTTGTTATAAATTTGCATACACTGAAGATGAGGGGAAAATGATGCCTTACCTTTTTTGGTGTCTGTTATGTTTGTTGTTATTATAAAAAGTGAAAAGACATTGCTTCATGTCATGTTTTCATTTTATTGTTAAGATGAATAAAGTTGTAAAAGTACACACCCGTTACATTTGAAGATTTACCCGGCGTGTCCTTTGGAGTTCGTTTTAAACTTGCGAAGTCTGAACTTACAAGGAAAAGAGGCAAGTCTGAACTTTGTGTAGGTTACTTGATATTGAGAAAAGGCCCCAATCGGGTAGCGCGAAAGTCTGCAGCCACGCCTCCATTTTCAGATGTCTCAGTTTTCCCCCATCCACACTGACACAGAGCAGCAGGAGCATTTTAAAACAAAAACTGCCTCTCCAGCATTTCCAGAACGCTCAGTTTTAGTGTGGGGTAGTGTGGACGGAAGATGTAAAACGGTAGCAAATCTTATGCCTTTTAAAATTAAGATAGATAGATAGATAGGTAGATAGGTAGATAGGTAGATAGATAGGTAGATAGGTAGATAGATAGATAGATAGATAGACAGAGATAGACAGACAGACAGATAGATGAAGGTGAAGATGTGTTTGATTCTTTTAGTCTTTTTCTGATGTGATTTTCTCTTCTGCACTGTGTTCAGAGGATCTTCTGAAGCCACTCTGATGAGGAGTTCAGCTCTTTAGGAACAGTAAGAGCATCTGGATTTTCACTCGTCACTCTCTCCAGCATGGCTGACCTCTGGATTAAACCGCCTCTCCAAGAATCAGATTTGTGGTCTGCTGGATTCCCGTGGAGCAGTCAGCAGCGGGATGGAGTTATATTTATATAATCCGAGTGTCATATTCTCCATGTGGTGTGGTCTGCTGGAGGCCTGTGGCGTCGCCGTGCTCTAGTAAAGTCCACATCGCTGAAGAAATGCTCCAGACAAATAACTACTCGCTGGTGCTGCTGATCCAGCTGGCTCTGCTCACCTTCGACCTGTTCGTCAACTCCTTCAGTGAGCTGCTGCGGTCAGCGCCGGTCATCCAGCTCGTGCTCTTCATGTGAGAATGCACTCAAAACAGCACATGAAACAATGAACAAGTTTACATGCAAACTGATACACTCATAACTCCCTAAAGTCAGCTCACCCAAATAACCCATTTACATTTGTTAACCCGTTTATTAAAGCATTTTCCACTTTAAAGTCTGCATAAACCAGATTTTTATTTTCGTATTGTGCCGCAGTTAAACAGAATATTAAATAAGAAAACAGTGGGCGTGGCTTGCTTTTTCTACTGTGAGCTGATTGGATGTAGTAAAGTAGGCATTTCATTTAGAATAATCGGGAAAAGGGTTCCGACAGAGTTTATTACAAACTTAAAGACACCTATGGTTAGTTTTAATCTCATTTGTACTTTAAAGTGGAATGATATGCAACAAATGTATATTTTACAGTAAATCGAATTTGCTGTAATGTAAGTAATACTTGAAAGTGATATGGGGCTATTTGAATCAGTTGCTAATTGCTGTTATGCTTAAACTTATAATGCATATTAGGATTATTATTATTTTTAATGCATATTTATATTTGGCTGAATAAAAGCAAGTCTAGATTTGTCCACCTGTGGGGTTTTGTAGACATCTGCATCACCATATGGGCCATAAGAACTGGACTTGTGTTTGGATATAACTCTGTTTTTTGACCACACTCCGTTATTATTGTTTACTTATTTTTTTTGCTGGAAATTAAAACAGAATTTAGAAATAGTTTTGTAAAAAAATCCTGCGCTCAACAAATAAAATGAAACGTGTAATAGATGTCTTCAGTGGAGTGAGTACAACACCGTTTCCCTATCCACGAATGTAAAGGAGTAGAGGTGTGAACCTTTACTGGTCTCATGGTTCGGTTCGGTTACGATTATCATGTGTTCAATTCGGTTCAATTCGATATCTCGCTGCATCACGGTGCATTGACGATGTTTTCCATATACAGTGTTATATTTTAGGGGGGAGGCTAAAACATGCTGTCTGTATAAACACACAGACACACAGCACCATACTGTCTCTCATTCAAACACACACAAACAAAGACAGCACCAAACAAATAAACAAACAAACACACACACATACACACACACTTAAGCCCTCGCAACAGGGAGAGCTCGCGCTGAGCGGAGCAGAAAAACGAAAAAAAAACGAAAAAAGAAGCACTTTTCTGACGGTCCCTTACTGAGAGCTCCTCTCAGCGTGAGCTCTCCCGGCTAAACACATATTGTGAGGGCTTAAATGGAGGAGTGCTCGTAATGTCGAGCGACAAAAAAGAAAAGAAAGACAGTTTAAAGACAATTAATTTTGACACCCCTATAAAGGAGTAAAGTTAAAAAAGTGAAAGTAAAGGCTGAATGGAGGAGGCTCGTTCTTTATCCTTGCTCTGCAGATGTTTAACTGCTTTTTCGCTAGTGAGGAGTTCAGTAGTTCCACTTGTAAAGTCCGCCATGTAAATAGCGAATGCGCCATGGCGCGAAGCAACTCACTCCTTAAGGGAATGGGAGATGAGACTCTGATTGGTTTAATGCACGTTATTCTCAAATTACACCCAGAACTCATTAAGAGAATAAGCACAACCCTGTTTGACTATGCGCTGCGGCGCAGAGCGTATTTTTCCGTCCTTTAAAATAGCAAAAGTGGATTCAGACACGCCCTTAATTCTTTTGCACTATGAGCTTTACACTTTGTGCCTAGATCATTAAAATAAAGTCCTTTATGTTTGTTTTAGGGATAATTTGTGTTATTTTTCAAAACGGTTTTATAAAAATGTTGTTTTTGGAAAAACTATAGAAGGTTTATCAAGGAGAAGCCATAAAATTTGAACCAACAACCCCCAAATACAAGTTAATGGGGTATATGCCGAGCTAGTGTGTTTCCCATACTGATAAACTTCCGGTGAATGGTTATCGTAAATTTTTTTCCACTTTATACAGTTACTTTTACAGCATCGATGTTGTAATGTAATTTAAATACAATCAGTTAAACAGACTTTGGCATTCATTTAGTTCAGTGGTGGGCAAACTTTTTAGACCCGAGGGCCAAATCAAGTTTTGCAACCCAAGTGAAGGGCCTCATGTCAAATCCTTCAAAAAATTACTTTTATTTCTAGTGGCAGTGTACATGGAATATGTAATATCAGACAGAAACATATCACATTAACATGAAACAGATTTTTGTAATATTATTAAGTCATATTTACAAGTCAAATTAATTTGCACTGCTATTTATATTTACTTATCAATCATTGTAAAACAATAAAATAATCTCTTATAAAATATATTAATATTAATAATAATAATAATAATAATAGCAATGTAATTTTTTTTACAGTGAAGAATAGAAAAGATATTGCCTGATAGAAAAATCTCATATTAACACATTAAAAATAATTGTTAAAGTTTGCTATTTAGTCAAATTTTATTTTCTGTCTGGATGCCGTTAAATCTGCTGCAAACACTTGTTTTCGTCACATGCATGTACACTTCGGTAAACATACATATGCAGGTGAATGACTTATAAAATCAGCATAAGCAGCAAAAATCTTGCTATGATGATTGATTAATGCTAAAGTCATTTTTTACCTTAATCTGAAAAAGCAAAAAGTTAACATGTGAGCTTTGGTTGGAGTTTGGTTATTTAGCGTTAACTGGGACAGTTGACCCCAAAAATGAAAAAAGTTACTCATCCTCCTCTTGTGCCAAACTTATGTTTTTTTTTTCTTCTTTTTTTTTCCACAAAGGAAGATATACTGAAGAATGTTGGGAAAAAAACAACCATTGACTTGCATAATATTTTTTGTTCCTACATTGGAAGTCAATGGCTGCCGCTGTCCAACATTCTTCAGAATATCTTGTGTTGTGTTCAACAAAAATGGTTTGGAACCACTTAATGGTGAGTAAAAATGCCTTTTCATTTTTGGGTGAACTATCCCCTTAAGGACATAATTGTAAACACACTCAACGCTTGACTGGTTCTCATATGGTTGATGTGTCTGGTTTTGTGCAGAATCCAGGACATCGGGATCCTGTTTAACGTGATCATCATCCTCCTGATGATGTTCAACACGTACGTGTTTCAGGTGGGGCTGGTGTCGCTGTTACTGGAGCGCTTCAGAGCCATGCTGATTCTGTCTGCTCTCTATCTGACCCTCAGCATCTGCTTCCACTGCTGGGTCATGGTGAGTGGATACACACACAGATAGGTTTTCATGTCTTATAGAGACTTCACACAGACATTTTCTACTGTATAATCTGTTCTCTTCCCCCAACTCTCAACAAGACCTTTCTGCAGTTGTATAGACCTTTTTTTTTCGTTGCTGCACGGAGTCTTCCGGTAGGGAGCTTAGAACTTCCGTTAAGAACTGTCATCAGCCAGAGCAGCGTTTCTCAACTAGGTCTCAATACTGTTTTCAGTGGCTAACGAAGTGTTTTTGGGATGGAAAAATTTCATTTTGAGAGAAAGACGTGTGTTAAAGCCGTTATGCTTCTGTCAGATGCGGTTCAAGTGCGAGAGGAAAACAAAAAATCTGCCGTCAGATCAGATGATGAAATACAGCGTCAGTGTTCCCGAACTGTCAGCTGTTGTACTGTGCTCCGCAGCTCTTCAATGCACACACTTATGCCGAGTTCAGACTGCATGATTTTCAAAGTAGTCGTGTCACAGATGTTTTCACACTGCGTGACTATCTGGGCTGGCGTTTCGTCGCTGCTTTGTTTACACTGCAAGATGGATGGGCGACAGGGACTTTCACATTGCATGACTTTACTATAGGAAGACTCGCTCGCAACTTCGTCCAAACTACGTCTCACAGCCAAAAACACGTCGTATATCTTTTGTTATTAACTACATAATGAGAAAGAAGCCTTTAATGGGGTAGAAAATGTACATGTTTGCTCACCTGGGTTTAAAGGGAATTAGCCATTTCTCCTCAACGTTGATAATAAACTAATTTCTTTCTGTATGAAACGTCAAACAGACACGGTTGCTCCTGAGTCCTGTCAAACCTCCACTAGTTTTTCGTGGGTCCAAATAAACCGAAAAAGAGCGCTTTAAACTTCTCCCCCAGCCTCCCGCTGGCCTGCAGCAGGTATACACACACGCACACACAAGTGAATGCCGCTCTCGCATTGGCTGTAGGCGATCAATGATGTTATTTTCAGTCAAAACTCATTTCACACGGCATGATTTGAATTGCCGACAGCTCCAGATATTCAGCATGCCAAATATCTCACAGGCATCGGCGACTCATCGGCGATTCTCTCAGATCGCGTCTTTGATAGTTCATACTGTGTGATTGTCACTCACGTGCAAAAGCAGCGATTTGCCTGTGATTTCAGGCATTTGTTGGCGATTTCTCAAAACCTGTCGGCGAGCCAAAATCGGGGCTAAAATCACGCAGTCTGAACTAGACATTACACACATAAACAATAACTCACTGCAATATAAAAAGCAAACCATAATTCTGGCATGAAACTACCAGGTATGTAAGCCATGCCATTTTCAAAAATTACTATTAAAAGTCTGTTACTGATACTCTGCTGGCTGATTTGCATGTTGATTCTAATCGGGAGCTGTTTGTGTTTCATTTATTTATTTTGTATTGTGTAGTATTTAAAACAATATATGTGTTTTTCTGTCATTTTAAATGCCACTTTATTTCCACTTTGTGCCACTCGTTTAATCAATGTGTTAGGGGGGCTATGTATGTGTGTTAAACACTTTGGTGAACAAACGAAGTGTAAACACACACAGTCAAGAATTACTGTATTATTATACTTAAGAGAACCTGAAAATAAATGAAAGACACTTTGCAAATTATAATTTTGAGACCAGGCATGATCAAACTGTCTATACTAGATGTCGAATAGCACATTCTAGGTTGACTCATTTGTATTTACTGAATAACAAAGACCCACCTAAATGTAACTACTGCCAGGCTGCTCTCACCATGAAGCATATTTTGCTGGACTGTGGAGGTTTGAATACCATTAGAGAACATTTTTATAAGGAGAGTACTTTGATGGACATGTTTAAAAAGGTACCACCAGGAAGAATCTTAAATCTAAAATATTTATCAAAAATTGAACTGAAAACTCCAATTTAACTTTGAATATATTTTTTTTGAGTGAATTTTTTTTATCCTATACATTTGTCTAAAAAACTTTGCAATGTGAATTTGTTTTATTATGTAATATTTTATGTATATCCATTTTGCCATGAAATAGCCATAAGTTGCTGATGTGGCAATAAATAATATAAATAAATTATACTTAAGAGGACATTTGGTCCCCATTACATAGTGAATATCAGGACACACACACTCACTAAAAGGTTGGTTTTTGTGAATCGTGGGGGAAATAAGTATCGAAGACATCAGCATTTTTTTCAGAAAACATATTTCTAAAGGTGCTGTTGACTGAAAATGTTCTCTGGATGTTGGTAAAACACAAATAAATACAGAAATCAATGAAATGAAGTTCTGTGTAATAAAATGAAATGGAAAAAAGTATTTAACACATGAAGAAAGGAAGGTGTAGAAAGGCAGTGAAAGCCCAGACAGCAGCTGAAAGTTCTTCAGCAACCCAAAATTAATATTCGCTGCTTCAATTCAACATTTACATTAGCAGGATGATGAAGAAGAAACCAAGGTGGACATTTCAGCAAGAAAATGATCCAAAACACAGCCAAGGAAACTCTCAAATGATTTCAGAGAAAGAAAATCAAGCTGTAGAATGGCCCAACCAATCACCTGCCCCCAATCCAATAGAGAATACAAATTAAAGCCCAGATTTGATAGACTAAACCCACAAGGTTTTGACACGGTTTCATTTCATGACTTTAGTTCTCCATATGTGTCATCTTTAGGCTGCCAGCACTAAAAAAAAGCCTTTTATATAAAGTATTAAATACATTTCAGTAGTTCAGCACTTTCTCCTGATCTCATTTCATTATTACACACAACTCATTTTTCAGATCTTTTTGTTTTGTTTTGTTTTTATATTTTTATATATTTTTTTGACGTTGTTTTTTTTTTTACTGAAACCTGGTTCAATTCCATGTCAACAGCTCCTTTAGAAATATGATTCCCAGCAAAAAACATGACTTATACAATACTTATTTCCCCCACCTTATACACAAGATCTATTGCACACATTACACCAAAGTATTCCTTTAAACATTTAATTTTCTAAAACATTACTATTTTCTTTATTCTAATCATTTTCCATTATTAAATGCATTTTGCTCAAATGTATTAATGATTATTGAGTAATATGTCAATTTAAAACTAAAATAGAGCAGCATGGCATTAGCAACACCAAGGTTGTGGGTTTGATTCCCAGGGTAAGCAAGAGTTAATATCTTCAGTGTGTACTTTCAATGCAATGTAGAAGCATCTGCAAAATGTGTAAATACACTCATAGCTCTAAAATACTCATACATTCTGTTTATTCCTTATGTTTAAATCCGTGCAAGGAAAAGCACGTTTATTTAAAAAGCACATATCATACACAGTGGCAATTCAAAGTGCTTTACATTAACAGGACTAAAAGAGACAAGAACATAAAAACAAATAATAATAATGACAAGAAACAGATGAAAATGTGGTAAAATCGGTTATAAGAGAATGAAAAAAAGACATATTGGTTCGATCTGTCAGATGTACCACAGTGCTGATTCAGTAAAGGCACAGCTAGACAAATGTGTTTTCAGTCTTGATTTGAGTGTGCCTAATGTTGGAGCACATCTGATCGTTTCTGGAAGCTGATTCCAGCACAGGGGACGCTGTTAGTAGCTGAAGGCCGATTCACCCTGCTTTGGCTGAACTCTTGGAATTTCTAGTTTATATGATCCTAACATACCTGTCAACCCTCCCGTTTTTCCCGGGATTCTCCCGTATTTTACTGTTCTATCCCGCTATCATCCCGTAAAGGTATTTTCCCGTATTTCTCCCGTATTTTCAGTCTTTCTCTGAACAGCCGAGCCTCCCTATACGCAACCCATACCGCCGAACCACCAGGGGTCGCCCCTTGCTCTAAAACGCGAGCCTTCTGTGCTTTCGCTTTGTTTAGGAAGGAAAAAACTTATAAATAAATATTAAAAACGGCGCGATTCCATTTCATTTTGATTACAGGTGCCGTCGCCCATCCTATACAATCCTCAAAACAGTCATATAACTTAATTTTGCATGACTGTCAGCTGACGTGCTCCATACTGATAAACAGATCCCAAACGGATTCTGTATACGCGATTTGAAGCGGAGAGAACGTCTGATGTTTGGGTGCGTGTTTAAACAGACATACACACATAATTAATAATAATAACATATAAGGATGTCGATCTTGGTGGATTTTTTTTCCAAACACAACTAATTTCGTCTTAAATGAGCATAAAAAGTAAGGAAAGCAGTCGAATGCTTTCATTATAACATTAGATGTGTGCATTTTTAAAGTGACACCTCTTATTTAATGTAATAAAAAAATCTTATTGAATGCGAGATTCATTCGTTGCTCTTTAATCAGAATGTGTAAGTTATACAGTGGAGAAATGGCTAATGAGGTTGATAGCTTGATTCTGTTTCATTATAATAGCTATTAATTTTAATAAGCTGAACTGTTTGCTAATGTATTTGCTGCTAATGTATATATTATTTTTCTTTTGTTAATAATTTTAGAACATATTACTGACCATTTAACTGTTTATTTACAATGAAACAGATAAAAATGAACATATTTAGTAATTTGTGTATTTATTTGGGGGGGGGGGTGAATCCCTTATTATGGTGGGCATATCCCTTATTTTCACATCCCAATGTCAACAGGTATGGATGAGTGATCTGTTAGGGTTGTATTCAGTGAGCATATCTGTAATGTATTGAGCTCCTAGACCATTTAGTGATTTATAGACAAGTAATAATTCTTTAAAATCTTTTCTGAATATAAATGGGAACCAGTGTAAAGACCTGAGGACAGGTGTTATGTGTTCCAATTTCTTGGTTCTGGTCACAATCCTGGCCGCAGCGTTCTGGATGAGCTGCAACTTGTCTGACTGTGTTTTTTGGGAGGCCAGGGAGGAGTCGATTACAGTAATCCACCCTGCTGCTGATAAAAGCATCAACAAGTTTCTTTAAGTCTTCTCTGAAAACAAAGCATCTCATTCTTGCTGCTGAAACTTCCCAGAAAATGATTGCTTTATATCAAATAACATACATTTTAAGTTTGCAAGATGTACATTTGTATTTAATTTGTGTCCCAAATTGATGATTAGCTTCATTTGTATTTGTAAATGACTAATGCTTCATATTATATCCGTTGTCCATCAGAACCTGCGGTGGATGGAGTCCAATCGGTTCGTGTGGACGGACGGCCTGCAGGTTCTCTTTGTGTTTCAGAGAATCGGTAAGCAGCCAAACCTCAGATTGGATTTCACACGAGGGTCACTGTCAATCTCGTCAACAGCCTCCCAATCCCTTTCATGCGTGCTTGTAGGCCTCGCCGTCCTGATCACTGAAGAGATTGTAGAGCTGTTCAACCATCATCCATCTTCTAGAAGTTAACCATTGCTCTTGTGTCTCCGCAGCTGCTGTGTTGTATTACTACTTCTACAAACGCACAACCGAATATCTCGGAGACCCCAGACTTTACGAGGATTCTCCGTGGCTCCGGGATGCTTTCGCAAGAGCGCGGCAGTGAGGAGAGACTGGAGAAAACCAAACGATGCTCAAGGGATGCTAACATTGCACATTTTTTCCACAAAACTCCCAAGCGTTTCAGGAGACCAAACTCAAAATGGACTCGTTCAGAGCCTCGTCAGATTAAACAGAGGAAGGAGCAGAGGAAAGAAGAGCACAGACAGGTAAAGCAGATCATGAAAGGTATACAATCACGTTTTCATCACAGCAAAAATGATCTTAATGCCCCAACCAGGTGTAAAGCTACATTAGTACTGCAGTTTGTTCTTCATGAGAGGGTTAGTTCACTCAAAAATGAAAATTATCTAGTGATTTACTCACTTTCAAGGCTTACTAGTGGTGTACATGACTTTCTACATTCAGTCGAATTCAATTAAAGTTCTATTAAAAATGATCTATGGCTTTTCCAGCTCTGAAATGGCATCAGACAGGTGTATTTCTTCCAAAACAAGTCCAATAAATGCATCTATCAATGAAAATAAGTGCCCCATGTGGCTATGGAGGCTGAATAAAGGTCTCCTGTTGCAAATCCACGCATTTTTGTAAGAACAATATCCAGGGCTTAATTTGTGCTGGAACACGCTGGATCCGGCACCTCTGAAATCTGATCCAGCACCTCATTTTACCGATCCCCCTCCTTAACCGCCCTCCTCCCCCATTCGCTATTCACTTTCTTCCGCAACTCCCCAACCCTCTTTACATTCATTTGCAACAACCCGAACCAGACCCCCCCCCCCTGCTCTTCACTTTCTTCCTTTGTCCGTGAAAGCCCTCTGCCTTCCAACAACATCCAACGTCAGTGGCCCCCCCACTTTCTATCCACTTTTGTGCGTGACACCTCTCCATCCGCGGGTAGCATGCCGGATCTGTTATCAGACCTCGCAATTCACAAATTAAGCATTGAAAAAATCTATATTTAAAGCCTAAAATAATCATTTTTGTATGACTTCTGTGAAATGATTGAGTGCAGCGCCATCTGTAGTTCATACAGAGCAACTGTAGTACAATGATAATGGCGTAAAATGGTTTTGTTCATAAAAAAAAAAAACTTCTGTCTTAATTTACTATTTAAATGCATTTTTTGGTATACAAAGCGCCATCAGCTGGACAAGAGTGTGCTTTGTTTGTCTCTTTTCATTGCGCTTGTTCAGCTTCACACTTAAGAGATAAAAAAAAAAGACTCCTGTCCAGCAGATGGCGCTAATACACCAAAAAAAGTACCTCAGCGTCAGAAGAAGGCAACTTATGCTGGAGGTTACACAAAACAGTTTATAAAGTTTTAAATATGGATATTTCTCTAACAAAAACACATGGATTTGCTCAAGAAGTCGTTTATTCATCTACCAAAGCTGCGTGAGGTACTTTTTTTATAATGGATTATGCACTTTATTGGAGTATTGGCCATTATAGAGCTGGAAAAGCCCAAGAGGATTTTTAATATTACTCTTGACTGGATTTGACTAAATGAATAATGTCATGTAGGCTCCTGGGATGCTTTTAGTATGAGAAAATAACTCGTTTACATTTTTGCGTGAACTAACCCTTCATCTACTGGTTTCATAGGTATCTTGTGTATCGATTAGTGGCTAATGCTAAAATGTGTTCTAATGTCTGGAGCAGCGTTTGACTGTACATTTGAAACACGAGAGTTTGCCTTTGGATAGACTAAGAGTGGAATTTGGACTAAGGAGTTGTTTTTGTATACTGAACGGTTTGTTTTTTTAATTTGTACTATTGTCATCCTCCAAACGTGACGCATGTTTTTAGTAAATTGTTGACGGAGCATCAACAAAGTGCCTCACGGTTTTCACCCAACACTACGCAGAGCGTCAGCACACTTGTTATGCTGAAATTGTGATTTTATTCGTCTGTCACTGCTAATGTTGTTGTAATAAACGTTTTTCATTGGACTGACTCGTGACTTTATGGCAGCCTATCATTAGAAGACAAATCCATCAGGAAGCTTTCATCTCACAATTCTGATTTTCTTCTCACAAATCCAAATTTACGTCGCCCTCAGAATTCCACCTTAACACCTCACTATTCTTACTTTACTTAGGGCGCACTCAAACTAGGTACAGTTGCTTTGAACCGTGCCGAAGTGTAACTATCCCCCCTCCCCCGACAGCCTGCACTCAAACTGCCTTTCACCTTCCGAGCCTGAGCGCAATTACATAATTGATGATGCGACTGTTCAGTTTATCAGAAGAAAAAACAGCAAATGGGGGAGGAGGCCTTAACCGCCCTTCTCCCCCATTTGCTGTTCACTTTCTTCCACGACTCCCCAAACCTCTTTACATTCATTCACGACAACCCCCCGCTCTTCACTTTCTTCCTTTGTCCGTGAAAGCCTTCCGCCTTCCAACACCATCCAACGTCAGTGCCACCCCCCCCCCCCCATCTTCTATCCACTTTTGTGCGCAACACCTCTCCATGTGCGCAACATCTCCTCTGCATGCAGGATCTGTTATCAGACCTCGCAATTCACAAATTAAGCACTGAAAAAAATCTATATTTAAAGCCTAAAATAATAATTTTTGTATGACTTCTGTGAAATGATTGAGTGCAGCGCCATCTGTAGTTCATACAGAGCAACTGTAGTACAATTATAATGGCGTAAAATGGTTTTGTTCATAAAAAAAAAAACTTCTGTCTTAATTTACCATTTAAATGCATTTTTTGGTATACAAAGCGCCATCAGCTGGACAGGAGTGTGCTTTGTTTGTCTCTTTTCATTGCGCTTGTTCAGCTTCACACTTAAGAGATAAAAAAAAAAAGACTCCTGTCCAGCAGATGGCGCTAATACACCAAAAAAAGTACCTCAGCGTCAGAAGAAGGCAACTTATGCTGGAAGTTAAAACACAAAACAGTTTATAAAGTTTTAAATATGGATATCTCTCTAACAAAAACACATGGATTTGCTCAAGAAGTCGTTTATTCATCTACCAAAGCTGCGTGAGGTACTTTTTTTATAATGGATTATGCACTTTATTGGAGTATTGGCCATTATAGAGCTGGAAAAGCCCAAGAGGATTTTTAATATTACTCTTGACTGGATTTGACTAAATGAATAATGTCATGTAGGCTCCTGGGATGCTTTTAGTGTGAGAAAATAACTTGATCGTTTACATTTTTGCGTGAACTAACCCTTCATCAACTGGTTTCATAGGTATCTTGTGTATCGATTAGTGGCTAATGCTAAAATGTGTTCTAATGTCTGGAGCAGCGTTTGACTGTACATTTGAAACACGAGAGTTTGCCTTTGGATAGACTAAGAGTGGAATTTGGACTAAGGAGTTGTTTTTGTATACTGAACGGTTTGTTTTTTTAATTTGTACTATTGTCATCCTCCAAACGTGACGCATGTTTTTAGTAAATTGTTGACGGAGCATCAACAAAGTGCCTCACGGTTTTCACCCAACACTACGCAGAGCGTCAGCACACTTGTTATGCTGAAATTGTGATTTTATTCGTCTGTCACTGCTAATGTTGTTGTAATAAACGTTTTTCATTGGACTGACTCGTGACTTTATGGAAGCCTGTCGTGGAATTAAATTACAAATCCATCAGGAAGCTTTCATCTCACAATTCTGATTTTCCCCTCACAAATCCAAATTTACGTCACCATCAGAATTCCACCTTAACACCTCACTATTCTTACTTTACTTAGGGCGCACTCAAACTAGGTACAGTTGAACCGTGCCGAAGCGTAATTATCCCCCCTCCCCCAACAACCTGCACTCACACTGCCTTTCACCTTCTGAGCCTGAGCACAATTACATAATTGATGTTGCGACTGTTCAGTTTAACAGAAGAAAAATTCTCTCACAGTGGACTTTGCTTTAGTTATATTGTTTTGTATTATTTTAGGTGTTTAGGATGCAGTGACATGGTCAAATATTTTGGTGAACAGATCCACAACTTTTGACGCTCATACATAATCATAAAAGTGCTGCAGGTATTAAGAGGTTTGCTGAAGGTGCAGCTGTGGTGCAGTGAGGGGTTTGCGTCTTTAATAAACTACAACAGTTTGCGTTCATTGAACAGTACGAATGATTAATAAATCTATATGAAACAGCCCTTAAAAGTTACATCGCTTCTTCAGTTTTGGGCTCAAACGCGCTTTGCACTCACACTACAAGCGTACCCCGCCAAAGCCCAACCGAACCGTGCTCTGGTAAACCTCTTGCAAACGAGCCAAAGCCGACCAACTGAACCACGCCTGAACCTGATTCGGAGCACTCACTCTTGTCAAACGAACCAGGGAATGTGCCTGTGCACGGTTGGATAGCCTAGTGTGACTGCACCCAAATTCTGGGATTAAATTGTGCATTTCTGACTTCTTTTTTTTCTCACCATCTCACCATTTATTTTTCCTCCTCAGAATAAAAACTATTCTAACTTATTTTTTTCAACCTCAGATTTCAGTCCACATCTTGCAATTATAATTTTTTGGGTCAAAACACACATTGGGTCACATTTTTACCTCAATTTTTTTGAAACAAACATTTGAAAGTTTACATTTTTTAACGCAGATTTTTCCCCCCTCAGATTTAGTCTTGCAATTTTTCCCCCTTGACATTCCTTGTTTCTTCCAATTCTAACTTTTTCTCCAAAAGGCCATAATAGTATTTAAATTAGGACTGCACGATATTGGAAAATTTGGACATTGCGAATTTTTTATATTTTTTTTTACCCCTAAATTAAAGACCATTTTGAGGCATGTAAACAAAAACAACGGTCCCAAACTATTTTCTTTTTTTACCTTTTTAATTTCTATAGCATCCGAGAATCCAAAAAGAGCCACAATAATGATAAATAATGTTATGAGAGCAGATTAAATATTAAATTATGATTGTAATGCCTCTTGTTACATTTATGAAATAGTTTGATAACAAGCAAGAAATGTTCATGGGCCAATGACAACACCACATTGAAATGGTGTAGATCGATAGATAGATAGATAGATAGATAGATAGATAGATAGATAGATAGATAGATAGATAGATAGATAGATAGATAGATAGATAGATAGATAGATAGATAGATAGATAGATACTCTATTTAAAAAAAAAGTCAATACTTTCGATTGATTGGAATGATTTGTATGGGAGTCAAATATAAATATATGTTATGTAATTTATTATGTACATATAATAAACAAACTACAGTCATAAATTAACAATGGTGCTCATGTTAAAGTGAAATGAACTGTGCTTTATGGTTTTCTGAGCAGTCCAACAGTAATCGGGTACAGACATTGAATAATCAAATCATCACCGTGGAGTTTTGTCTGCGCTCTGAATGATTTGGAGATAATGAGCTTTAAAGTTTTTGCATTCCATAGCAAACAGTACGTGTGTAACATTTGCTTTTTTTAAATAAAGTCTTAATGTAAACAACTTATTTAAAAAATATCCCATAATGTAAATAAGTTGTCATTTAATAAGAATGTTAATAACTCAATTTTGACAAAAATGTCAGATAGAACCTTATAATTAAGGAGATGAAATGTAAAATAAAATGCATAGTCTTCTATTATATAAATAATTCAATAAATGGTATTTTTAGGCTCTTTATGTTTTCTTAAAATGTTCACACAGGCCTTAAAACACATGAAAATGTTCAACTTTCACTCTATAATTGTTCACTTCAGCAGCGTCTCCACAAATCTCATGTGTTTTGACTTGTGGGTTTTGGTCATCTATAAGCTTAACTCAACATTTCATATCTTGTGATGTGACTATCGCAGATGCACACATTGCGATATCGATGCTCAAACGATATATAGTTCAGTCCTGAAAAAGCAGCTCTCTTACTGCTCTCAAGTTTTCCCTCGAGACTGAGTAAAGTCAGAAGTGTCTGCTGTGGCTTTATCTGGTGCCGATCTCCACACCGACAGACTGTTCTTTTCCGATCTGACAGATTAAGCTTGGATTGAGGTTTTACGCTCCACAAACAGCCCGCAGGACACAAATAGCATGCTGTGTTTTCAAACCCTCAGCCAACTCGCCTCGTGTATGGGTGTGTGAACTTACTAGTGTTATTCTAGCAGACTGCTTTCACTAAAACTGCAACATGTGTTTTTATCGAAGCTTTACGACAGTGCTGTGAGCAAATAATAGAAATAAAAGCATGACTATGAATGATTTCAATATTATTATAATATATTATTATAATATACTCAGCAACTAATCTGATTTCAGTTTTATGGAATGATAGACACAAAAAGTGATAATAATAAATACGTTTAAATTCTTGTGCTTGTAAAAAAAATTTTTTAAGTGCACTGGATTTTATTTAATAGACATTTTTATTTATAGATGTGACCTACACATGAGGTGAAAAGGATTAGGAGATCTAAATATAGACATTTAAATAAGGAACTGATGTATGAGTTTTAAATATCATCAAATGAAAGCCAAGAATCGTTTATGGTTTTTCTAACAAAAACGGTTTTATTTGTGAAATATTAACCCACAATCCCACCAGTGCAAAATCAATCCACTATTCCGGTGTCCAATATTCCTGTGACAAAGCTTGAAGTTCTGGAAAATAGTGTCTGATCAACCTGGAATGTTTTCCTGTACATGCCATTCCTATAACCTGGAAAAAACAAACACAACAGATGTCATTATGACTGATCAGTACGTGTGGATAAATCGTGCTATTTGCACGTAAATAGCTGCGTGAACGAGTTTACTCGCTTCATTCGTGCGTCAAATTCACTTCAAACAGACTCGGATTTGCGTGATGGCAGGGCTTCTGTCTGCCTGGTGACTGTAGCTTCATTGCTGAATGGCCAACATGGATTTTATTAAGACAATAACAGTGTTTATGTGCTTTATGAAGGCTGAAAAACAGCGCTGATACATTTATGGCTGTGTCTGAGACCACTAGATCCTTTCAGAGGTGCATCCAGCTCTGTGAGCTCATAAACTCCTCCAGAAACTTCAGCTGGATGTTGGAGGCTTTCAGCGGTGCTTCTGACTGAGCCGAGTCCAGTTTGATGAACTGTTGTTGTTGTCGGCTGGAGGATTTCCCCCAGGACACCAACAACAGGTGATACGTCACAATCAACCCCCCACAAGAGAAAGCTCCTGATTGGTTAACGCGGCACGAATGTCCGCTGAAGTTCAGATTTTTAAACTCAAGTGATTCGTGCAAAACGCTCAATTCGCGCCGCAGGATGTCTATTCGCACGTTTGCATTGACTTAACATGTAAATCACTCGCGCTTGACGCTCTTTCCGTGTCTGGTGTGAACACAGCATGAGTCTGCAAAATTACTAAAAATTTTATGATATATAACCTACATATAATATATAAATAAATAAACTAGAGTAAAGTTATTATAGATTTTTTTTTAAATCTACTTGAGTCAAAATAAAACCAAAATAAAAAAGTAAATTTAAAATATCATTATTTTCAGCTAATTGCCAAGACAACATTTATTATATTTATTTACTTTAACTTGACATTATACAATAAAAAAAAAAAACAATAAAAATCTTAATTCCTCATGATACTATAACAACACTGTTGCCCTGACAATTAATGGCTCGTTTCCACTAAGTGGTACAGTACAGTACGGGTCACCTTTATTAGGCGTACATTTCCACTGCTAAAAGGGTACCAATAGTGTGTGTAATGTACCACAGAAAGTTTCAGTTGACGTCATACTCGCTAGAGGAAATGTCTGCTGTAAAGCTGTCTGGGTTGTTCACATATCATACGAGAAGCTCTTCTCACAAAACAGATGCTTTATACACAAATATTTGTGTATGAATGTTCATTACTAACATTTCTATTAACATGATTGGATTGTAAATGCAGAACAATGCTGCGAAATAGCCTACTGTAACGTCTGCAATTATATAAAATAAATAAATAAATGCAACGTATATGAACACACTGACCCTTACAGTCTCCGATATGGTACCAACTACAGAAAAACACACAGCAGACATTTAGTCCTTATTTTGGTTCAAAAAGAACACGCAACATGCAGCACACAGTCAGTGCAAACCTCTCATCTGTATCTTTCATCTTTACCAGCACATATGTGACCTCTGTTAGAGAGTAATTCCATCATTCTGAGTTCATAAGTCCAAAAGGTGATGATAATAATAGTTAAACATGGCCGTTTGTTTCTGTTTTAGGTTGCTGAGAGAATCATTTGCTTTTTTGTTTTTTGCGCGTAACTCTTGCGTTTGTCCATTTCTGAAAGGATCGGATGTCAGAAGCACTTCAATAATCACGCGCATGTCATTAATATGAGCTCAAGTAGTTCATTATTTCAAATATAAACACGCATGCAAGCAATCGCAAGAAAATGAAGCCGTGCGCACTTTAGACGGCCTTGTAAAAAAAATAATTATGGGAAACAGGGTGGATTCTGCTCTTCTTCTTAGCTTTGTGGCTGTTCATCAAGACGACAACAATGTTTGTTTGAGCTCAGGTCGACAATGGCTCATAATTATATGTATATCTTATTACGGTGTAATGTCTCGGCTATGTTTTTAAAACATGGTGGTTCATTTGTTTTCTATTCTGGCTTGTTGCATGAACAAGTGACGCATCTCTGTAGCGGTCAGCTGCGCGTCTAGCTCCGCCTTTTGGTACCCTTTTATTGTGCTAGGTACCCATTTGCAAAGTGTACCCAAAAAGTTGAACAATAAGTTTCGCTTGTAGGTACCTTTTGACAGAGGAAACAGCCATAAGTGTACCGAACCTAACTGTATCGTACCACTCAGCGGAAACGCTCAATAAGCAAAATATGTTCGCTTAATCACGAACAATTACAAATGAACAAAAAAAACTAATTACTAAGATTTTGACAAAGCCCACAAGAAAATACGAATAATAAAAAATATACTAAACCATAAAAGCAAGTCAAATAAACAAGCTAGACTGCACTGTCAGATCTTAAGCTGTAGTAGTCTAATCTTATTACTACTAAAGCTGTAATTACTTAATATTCAGCTGTAGAAATAAAATTACCTAAAATATAAACAAATTAGAAACAATCAAAATGATAAAACTACTAATATAAAAAACTAAATGTTCAAGTAAAAACGATTAGTTTCAGTATGATGGTGACTTTACAATTTAAACAGAATATTGAGTGTTGGGCGGGGCTTTATTTTTGGCCTCCAATCATCTTCCACTCACAGCAAACCAATGGTTGTAGGGGGCGTGGCTAAACATTCTGCCCAATCATTCAAACTGACGACATCAGAGCAAATGGCCAGATATGATTAATGATTACTACAACAGTTTACTTCAGTGAGTTAACTTGCAGATTAATTATTCGCTGAAATTAAACACTGTACATTTTGGTGTAGACATTAATACTACAGTGCTCAGCATAAACGAGTACACTCCATGTTTTTATCCATTTCTGAACGCAGGTAATATATTCGGGTGCATTTAAACACAAGTGTATACATTTTTTGTTTCTCTTGAATTATGCTCTTTAAAAAAAGATGTAATAATTATCTCAAACGTAAATTTGGGTGCACTAGTTTTTGGACTGTTATCATGAGTTATTTGGTTAGATTAGCTCCAGATTTGGCTTCAGTACTGACCAATCTAATGCACAAATATAACCCCTGTATAGCTTCCTATTAAAAATATGAATCTAAAGGAGAGCACTGTACATTTAAAATGAGAGCGGGAGCCACTCACGTTTAGACAAAAATGCCGACCCAGAGTAAGAGGAAATGCACGCCGAAGCCCATAAAGAGCGACGCCACCAGAGCGATGAGCAGCTCCTTATAGACGTCTCTCGTGTACTTGGTGGAGGTCACTTCATATCTGAGCCACAGTCAAGAACACAAACACACAGAGCTCCAGCATACAGTTGTGATGATTTGAAACGATCCAACTAATGGGCTTTATGCACTGCAAGTGTTTTTCAGCCACCGATAAACTTCGGTGAAATGAAATAAAAAATGGTGAAATGTTTATGTGACTATTTTTAATTTAAAAAAGGCTGCTTTTACAGCATCGATGTTGTAAGGTAATTAAAACGATCATTTAAACAGACTTTGGGATAGGGTTGTTACGATACTGGAATTCGATACCAATCGGTACTGAAGT